AAGAATGGAAATTGAAGGGAAGAAAAGAGAAGTGAAGAAGAATGGAATGGGAGGGGAAGTGAAGTGAAGTAAAGAAAAGAATATACAATATACAATTAAAATATTATAAAGGTGTTCTCACCCAGCTCTGAAAACCCTCTGAAGTTAACTCAAAGATTCCTTTGCCAGCAACCCCGGCAAAATGTTTCTCTCTCGCCCCAGGCTAACAAGTCCGCCCGGCAGGGAGAGGAATAGTTGTCTGCTACACCTATTCAGAGCTAGGGTGGGGCCTCGCTAATAGCGGTGGCTCTTCCGTCTCAAGGACCAGCCCATAGATTTCCATTGCTCTCCTCTCCTCTGGCCTGTGCATCTGTGTGTCAGACACTGTACCCAACTGTTCCTCCTCTTCCTCATCAGCCACCTCCAGACCCGGGGGCTGTTGACTCTCCATCTGTTGGCCAGGACTGCCAGCCAACAGGCCACAACAAAAGGTAAAAAAAAAAAAAAAACCTGTTCCAGGGCCTCCAGTAGTCTTAGTGACTGGGAACACAGGAGAACCTGAAATAAGACCTTTCCAGTGCCAATACAATACTGGAATCATTTATATCACTAGTCCTCGAACGACCATAAGTCAGCCAAAAATTTCTGTCGCTAAGTGAGAAATGTCTTCAGTGAGTTTTGCCCCATTTCACGGTTTTTCTCGCCTCCGTCGCTAAGTGAATCACTGCAGTGGTTAAGCCAGTCGCTGTTGTGGCCTGCCAGCGGCTGACGGAGCTGGCAACAGAGTCGAACAGTAGTGAGGAGGCCGGGGAGGAACCTGGGCCAGTCTTGGAGGCTGAGGAGGGCTCGGACCAGGGTTCTGCATCAGAGGCAGAGATGGGGCCAGGGCAGGCTGCCAGTCATCAGCTGCCTTCAGACTCAGACAGCCATGAGGCGGGGAAGCTTCTGGAACTGGTTCCCAGCCTGCACATGTGCAGGACTACCAGAAGACAAGAACAATTGAGAAAGCAGGGTCGACTCAGGAGTAAGGCCACACCTCGGAGATGATTGGCCCCTCCCATGGGATATGAAAGAGGAGCGAATGGGATGTGAGCTTTTGCAGGAAGCAATTAATTCGTCTGGTCAGTTCAAGAAGTTCTTTTTGACTCCTTATCAAGTTTGGCCTTGCCCTGTACCTGGCCATTCATTCTCTGGCCGCATTCCAAGTGTGACAAGGTGGGTGTTTATGAACATTCCCTTGAAAGACTGTTTGAGAAGCCTTGCAGGCTGTGAATGAACGTAATTCACAGCCGTGGGAAATAAAAGAGGTTTTGCCGGGACTAAGATTGTGTTTTGTGCTTTCTAGGGAAACCTAGGTCAGAACAGTCACGCTGGTCAACTCATAAAACATTCCTATGCCTCTTTTAGTAGTTGCCATAAAAAAGGGGGCGGGAGAGGAAGGAAATCTGGAAGGGTAGTGCAGCCATTTGAAATCAAAAGTACATTCCAACTCTTTAAAAGATTGTAACTAAAATACCAGAGCTTTTGCCAGCGAATATCTTTAATTGGAGAATGTGATTGATGACACCCAGCCTGTGCACGTGCTCAGTTGGAGAATGTGATTCATGACACACCCAGGGGAAAGGGGGGAAACAGGGTCACGGGGGACTATAAATCACGTATGCCAGAGTTGGCTTCATGTCGGCATGTTGCTCCTAATAAATCTTTTTTTTGAAGTTTGGCTCGAGAATCATGCTTTAATTAGGGCGATGGCTGGAATCCTGACAGCGCCCTTGTGAAGCGAATCCGGCTTCCCCCGTTGACTTCGCTCATCAGAAGGTCGCGGGGGGGGGGGAATCCCGTGACACCGAGGACACTACAACCGTCATAAATCCAAGTCAGTGGCCAAAGCGGCTGGATTTTGATCATGTGACCCGCGGGAATTCTGCGACGGTCGCAAGTCTGGAAAACGGATCCTAAGTCACTTCCCCCCCTCCCCCCAGTGCTGTCCCGGCCACTCAACGAACATTTGTAAGTCAAGGACTACCTGTATCTACTCTCTGTATTTCAGATGCTTTCCCCAAAGTGCCTTTGGACAACTGCTGTCAATGACAGCCCCGTCCGAGCGTCGTGATCGCCAGGGTTTGTGTGTCACACACCCCACACACTCCCACCTCACACCCCGGAGGTATCTCCTTGATGCCTTTGAGCAGGCGAGCGAGAAGAATCGATTCCTGTCACTCACCCGTCCATCTGCAGGAACAGGATTATGGATCCGGGGGCCTTTTGCCAGCGCTTTAATCTTAAAATCAATGCAGAGACAGAAGCCCGTTTAGGGAAAGGTAAACCTAGCAGGTGTCACTTTGATGAGGTTTTGGAACTTCAAATGCAGAGGAGTCTGTAATTGGGGAGGCGGGGGCAGAGGGAGAAGGACAACTCACCTGTCACACCTGATAGAATTTCCACTCCAAGGAGTTGAAGTCGACATACAAAGCAAGTTGCCACTAACTGACTGACTTTCTTTCTTTTCTTCCTTCCTTCCTTCCTTCCTTCCTTCCTTCCTTCCTTCCTTCCTTCCTTCCTTCCTTCCTTCCTTTCTTTCTTTCTTTCTCTCTCTCTCTCTCTCTCTCTCTC